TAGATGGTATTCCCAAGTGGTCACCCATCTAGGTACTCAAGGCTCAATGTTGCTTAACTTTGATGATCATATGGGAATGAGTGTTTCAAGTGATGTGGCCAAAAGCTCACAAACAAATAATAAATAAAAAAGGCAATTGTTAGGATACTAAAAAGGTAAGAATATTAGAATAAGAGAATAACCTTCATTAGAGAATAGCTACCACTTCCCCATTCATGTGGTCAATTTAATTAATTGAAAAGAAGTAGTTCATTTCCTATTACCCTGCAGTTTAATGCAAATAAATATAGATATTTTTTATAAGACAATCCCTTTATTTCTTAGGAAATCAAATGGATTCAACTGAACTTTGTTTACAATTTGTAACATTTATTTTATTTCAGCTTTTCACAAAGTTTCGCAGTGAATAACAAAAAAGAAAATAAACATCAGTCAAGTTCATTTTTGGTTTCTACTTAAAGAAAATCCTTTGGCAACAGTTGCAGCTGCTAATCTTAGAAGACATTGAGAGTGGACGTGATTTTCTCTGATATTTAACAAATACCATTTTGTAGCAAAGTTCAGCCAAGCCAAAAACCAGAGGCTAAGGGAGTTAATTCCAGTTTTGTCTCTTCCCAAAATCATCAAACTTCTACCTTAAGTCTCAATTGGAACTTTCTCTTTTTAAGTGATTTTAATAAATTGGATAATTTTAAAGGCTCCTATACAAAATTGATTGCTATTTGATTTATTCATTAACTGAAAACATGTGTTCATAAAACTGTCAGCCCACAGTACAGATTGAGGTACATCGTATATAAATCGAGACATTTTCTCTTATAATAAATATAATATTACTGTTTTAAAGTAATAAATATAATATTACTAAAAGTATAGAATATCTATAATTTGAATGTTTATTATTATCATCATTATTACCTGCTGTCAATTGTAGGATTTATTTAACAAATACATCAAAACTTTCATTCAATGTACATGGCAAAGCAAATGGGGAAAATGAAATAATCATGGAATAACTATAAAGAAAATGGAGACAAGTGTGGGACATCAGTAAAGAAAGAAAGGTTAGACACAAATAGAAAGAAAGGGTGGACATCAAAATAGAGAAAGGGGAGAAGTAGCCAATAGAGAAAGAAAAGGATACCAAAAAGAGAGAAATGTGAGAATGCCAAAAGAAAAAAAGGAAACATCAATAGAGAGAAAGGAAGAGGAAAACCAATAGAGAAAGGAAAGGATACCAAAAAAAGAAAAGGGGAAATACCAAAATAGAAAGAGAAGAGATCAAAAGGGGAGAGGAAACCAATGGAGAAACAAAAAGATACAAAAAGAGAGAAAAGGTTAAATACCAAAAGAAAAAGAGGGAGATCATAAGAGAGAAAGGGGAGAAGGAATCAATAGAGAAATGAAAGGATACCAAAACAGAAAATGGGAGATGCCAAAAGAAAAAGAAGAGACATCAAAAGAGAGAAATGGTAGAAAAAAACAATTGAGAATGGAAAGGATACCAAAAGAGAGAAATGAGGAGATGCCAAAAGTGGAGACATCAAAAGGGGAGTGGAAACCAATAGAGAAAGAAAAGGATGCTAAAAGAAAAAAAGAGATATCAAAAGTGAGAAAGGTGAGAGGAAACCAAGAGAGAGAAAAGGGGAGATACAAAAAAAAAAAAAAAAAGAGATTAAAAGAGAGATAGAGGAGAGGAAACAAATAATGTAAAGAAAGGATACTAAAAGAGAGAAAAGGTGAAATACAAAAAGAGAACATGCAGACATCAAAAGAGTGAAAGGGAGAGGAAACCAATAGAGAAAAGAAAGGATACCAAAAGAGAGAAAAAGTGAGATTCAAAAAGAGAAAGAGGAGATATCAAAAGAGAGAAATGGGGAGATAACCAATACAGAATGAAAGGATACCAAAAGAGAGAAAGGAGAGATGCTAAAAGACTAGTAGGGAACATCAAAAGAGAGAAATGTGGGTGGAAACCAATAGAGAAAAGGAAGGATACCAAAAGAGAGAAAAAGGGCAATGTCAAAAGAGGAAGAGGGGACATGAAAAGAGAGAAAAGGGAGAGGAAAGCAATAAAGAAATGAAAGGATACCAAAAGAGAGAAAAGGTGAAAAGAGAAAAGAAAAAGAGGAGACATCATAATAGATAAAGGGGAAAGGAAACCAATAGAGAAAGGAAAGGACACCAAAAGAAAGAAAATGAGAGATGTCAAAAGTGGAGAGATAGGAGATAGAAAACCAGTAGAATAAAGAAAGGATACCAAAAGAGAGAAGAGGGGAGATGCCAAAAGAGAAAGAGGAGACATCATAAGAGACAAAGTGGAGAGGAAACCAATCAAGAAAGGAAAGGATACCAAAAGAGAGAAAAGGGCCAATGCCAAAAGAAAAATAGTGGACATCATAAGAGAGAAAAAAACATTAAATTTTAGGAAAGATAAAAATGTCACGGCTTTAAATGACCCATGAGCTGTTGATAAATTGTAAAACAAAACAACCAACCAAACATTGTCTATGTGCTACTACATTTTGGAGTAAGGGGGAAAAAAGAGGAAGAGGAAGGAAATGTTTATATTTTTATTGAACTTAAACAGCACCACCTAATGGGTGTTTGGTGAAGCTAAGTTAGGTAATAAAATTTCCAGTTCTTTTATTTTCATCATAAAAAAATGCATCTTATTTCTGTTTTGTATTATTCATTATTATTATTTTATTGATTTTATTTCAGTTTCCCACAAAAGATGAAACTTTGCAATTTGATATAAGTTTTAAATAATGTGTAAACTTTATCATTTTATCTATTCCATGATATGCAATAGTATTTGAAATGATCTCAATTGCTTCTGATGAATTCTATCTCCCTCGTGACTACTCCAGTAGGAAAGAGGAAAACAATAGAGAAAGGAAAGGATACCAAATGAGACAAAAGGGGCAATGACAAAAGAGAAAGTGGGGGTATCAAAAGAGAATAGGGGAAGAGGAAGGCAATAGAGAATGGAAAGTATAGCAAAAGAGAGAAAAAGGGTAATGTCAAAAGAGTAAGAGGAGACATAAAAAGAGAGAAAATGGAGAGAAAAAAATAGACAAAGGATGCCAAAAGAGAGTAAAGGTGGAATGTCAAAAGCAAAAGTGAGGACATAAAAAGGGAATAATGGGAGAGGAAGGCAATAGAGAATGGAAAGGCTACAAATAGAGAGAAAAGGTGGCATGTCAAAAGAGAAAGAAGTAACTTAAAAAGAAAGAAAAGGGAGAGGAAGCCAATAGAGAAAGAAAAGGATACCAAATGAGAGAAAAGGGCAGATACCAAAAGATAAGGAGGAGACATCATAAAAGAGAAAGAGGAGAGGAAACCAATAGATAAAGAAAAGGATAACAGATGAGAGGAAAGGGGAGATGTCAAAAGAGAAAGAGGCGACACCAAAGGAGAGAAAGGGGAGAGGAAATTAATAGAGAAAGGAAAGTATACTAAAAGAGAGAAAAGGGGAGAGCCAAAAGAGAAAGGGAGGACATCAAAAGAGAGAAATCAGTGAAGAAGCCAATAGAGAATGGGAAGTATACCAAAAGATAGAAAAGTGGGGATGTCAAAAGAGAAAGATGGACATCAAAATACAGAAGTGTGAAGATACCACATCTAATTTTCTTCTGAATGTATTATGTCATACTGTGACCAGATCATATTTTTGATTAAATCTGATACTGTAATAATAATATTTGTGAGTTCAATCCCTGAAAGAGGTATACAGAAACAGAACAGGCAATTGTCCTCATTATATTATGTGTACCATAGATAAGTATAAAAATCTATATAAATTAAAATGTGATAAACCAAATAAATTTTATACTCATAAATTATAAAATATATTTTATAAGTTGATTAACTTCATACAATATAAAACTTTTTTTTAAACCTATTAAATATTATCAATGAAACACAATATTTCAACTAAGTAAAAGCAAAAAATAAAGTAGAATTTATTCAGCTTATAATTTGCATAATATGTAAATATAAGTCTGTGATTATTTACATATGGATGACAGACATTATAGAAAACTACTGGAGTAGTCACATGGGAATAGAATTCATCAGTAGCAATTGAAATCATTTCAAATACTATTACATATCATGGAATACATAAAATGATAAAGTTTACACATTATTTAAAACTTATATCAAATTGCAAAGTTTCATCTTTTGTGGGAAACTGAAATAAAATCAATAAAATAATAATAATGAATAATACAAAACTGAAATAAGATGCATTTTTTTATGATGAAAATAAAAGAACTGGAAATGTTATTACCTAACTTGGCTTCACCAAACACCCATTAGGTGTTGCTGTTTAAGTTCAATAAAAATATAAGCATTTCCTTCCTCTTCCTCTTTTCTCCCCCTTACTCCAAAATGTAGTAGCACATAGACAATGTTTGGTTGGTTGTTTTGTTTTACAATTTATCAACAGCTCATGGGTCATTTAAAGCCGTGACATTTTTATCTTTCCTAAAATTTAATGTTTTTTTCATATGGTATCAACTATTTATTTATTTTTTATGCACTTTTATAGGTACTTTTTTTTTCATAATCCTATGGTATCAACTACTTTGTTTGGTTTAGATACCAGTTTTTTTGTTTTTTTTAACTATTAGGTTTATATTTTTTGGTATAAACCCAGTAATGATTTATATATCATCCATCCTTGTACTTTCAAAGAGCTCCTTTATGATTACGTTCTTTTCCCTGGTCCACTGATGACTGAACTCTCTTTCCCCGTTCCAACCCATAATGTTCACATGTGTCTTCCAAAACTTCCACTTGTGAAATAATCAATCTTTTATTTGGTTGTTCCAACTCAGCACAATGCTAACTTGAGCTCAACTATTATAACCATGCTTACCATGACTTGCCCAAACTTACTTCTGGATCAGAAAAAGAAATTCTCTTTCACTTTCCAACTTATGAAATTTGCATGTGTTTTGCTGAAACTCCATCACTGAAATAAGACACATTTTACTATGGTTGTTCCAACTCCACACAAGACTGATTTAAGCTTGACTATTATAATGGTGCTTATCCTTACTTACCCTAACTTCTGGATCACAAAAAAGGAAATGGACATAGTCAAGAGACATTGAGAACTTTGTTTCCTGTGTCTCCACTATAAAAAAGAAGAGAAAAGGCCATAGTAGAAACCTGAGTTTTTGTACCCTTCTTCTTAATTGTATATATGTCAGCATGCACACACCTAAAATACACACCTACATGAAATTGTTAAATACCATACTTTCTAATATCTATAATAATTAAATCATTTCAATTTAGATACTTTTCAATTAATGCTTTTTCAGATTAAAATTATTTTTGTAATCTAAGCCAGGTGTTTATAACTATCTGTGCAATATATATATATATATAATGGACACTCCCATCAGTTTCAACATATGAGAATCTGACAACTTAACCAATTTTTTCAGTTATGAATTTTGTGTGATAATCTTAAATGGCACTTAAAACCGCAAGTGATTTGCAAAGGAAGCTGCATATGGAGCAAGAGTGAGGATTGTGGGATGAGGTCACTGTTAGATTGGCTGACCTTTTAGATCTTGCTCTTGCTTCTTGAAGATGATTCAGACTAGCAGATTGAAAACTGCTGGGTCCACTAAAACATGTTGATCTCCAATCTACCTGCTCCAAGGCTAAGTGCTTGAGGGTATTATGAGGTATACTGACAGCTGACAAGTTGCTCTTTAGCTTCTCTTTGGATCTAATCTATGGGCGTCCTACATTCCTGTAGCCCTGATCTAACTGGCTATACATTAGGATCTTTAGTATCCTGTCATCAGATATTCTCAAGAGATGACCAGCTGAGATTGTATGAGGGAAGTCTCGATTCCTCCAATATTACACCTGTTAAACAGGTCTACATTGGATGTCCTGTCTTGAAGGCTAACTCCACATATGGCACGCAGACAGCTCTTATGGAAAATATCCAGCTGGATATATATATATATATATATATATATATATATATATATATATATATATATATATATAGAGAGAGAGAGAGAGAGAGAGAGATTCAAATTTGCATAATATATATTTTACTTTATTTCTTACTATATTTCTCTAACTCTTCAAATTTTGAATGTATAACTAATTCTAATTTTTACACCATATTAATTTATATCTTCAAATTATCCCATGTTCTAAGGACTCTCTTTCCTTTATCATTTATGCCTCTTTATCTATATATTTTAAGATATTTTTAATCATAAATTTAAAAAAAAATATAATCTTAATTTTAATACAAATTTTCTAAATATAACTTATTTTTAATTTATAAAATATCTTTTAATTTTAAGTATAAATTATCTTTAGAAGAGTGTTTGTAAGTAGGAACTGTATTTTTTTAAAACTTAACGTATTTCTATTTTTGTACAAACAAAAACCCTTTTCGTTCCTCTCTTAGTTTCAAATTAACACTTCATTCTTCATATAACTCCAATTTAATTTGATAAGACTAATATCTAGGTTTAATTTTATAAAACCTCTTTCCTTTAACATTTCACCCTCCCCTGATCACAGTCTTGTGCCATTCAGCTGACTGAAATATTGACTTGGATAAATTCAGTATTAATTTTTTGAATTCTGTCACAGTTAAATTTCTAATTCTGACTCAAACTCAGTTTGTATACTGGGGTTGAATAAGACTGACAAAGGTTTTGTCAGTTGAAATAGGTTGACACCCCATATGAGGTTATTTTAGATTTTTTGGTTTACTACTATTTTTTTTTCTCTGTATAATAAATACATTGAGCTCTTTTTGTGAATTAGTTTGAATATTTTATATTACTAGGATCTGCTTGGATTATATACCAATGGATTTATTATCTTTAATATATATATATATATATATATATGTATGTATACACACATATATATATACACACATAAACACACACACATACACACATATATATATACACACATAAACACACACACATACACACATATATATATATATATACAGGAAACCTATCAAAAGAAGAAAGGAGAGAGAAAGTCATTTCTTGCCTTTGAAGACATTCACTACTGTGCATCCATTGAAATCAACTTGTATGAATTTTTAGTTATTCACCAAAAAGATAACTTTTATGTCATATCCTGTTGCATTTTATACTTTTCCCTTCATAAAAATTGCTTTTTCTCTGTGTGTTTTAAAAATAAAGAAACAATTACATACAGTTTTCTACTGTCATGAAGTGGAAAGCTTATATTGAATCAATTTCTAGGTCTGCTGCTAGGAGAGTTGGTTCACTGTGTTGTGCTAGAGAATTTTTCTCACAAGAATCTATCTTAAACTTTTATTTATCTACCATTCACCCATGCATTGTTCCTGTCACATCTGGTCTGGTACCTCTGCTATGTATTTAGACATTCTTGATAAAATACAAAGAAGAACCTGCAATTTTATTGGTCCTGACCTGGCATCTCAGTTTCAGTCACTTCCTCACTGCCATAATGTAGCTTCCATGTGTCTTTTCTATAAATATTTTCACAGTAGTTGTTTTGATGAATTTTCCTCTATGGTACCTAGACTTTACAAATTTAAGCACAGTACTTGATTAGCAGCAATTTCTCTTCATTTTACTATTGAAATGACCGCTAGATGTAACTGTAAATTCTATGCTAGCACTTTCTTCTATCACACTTTTCACTTGTGAAACTGTCTTCCAGCTTCTTACTTCTTTAACTGCAATGTCAATTGTTATCTCTCTATCTTCTCAATTCCTATTCTTTTATTGTTCTCACTACTTGCCAATGTTTTTCTTTTTCTCATATTCACACCAAGTAAACCCTAGTAGCTTAGTGGTTTTATTACATTTCTTGGAGTAAAATGAATAAAAATAAGATATACACACATATTGGTGAAATTGTAGGAAAATGAATAAAAATAAGATATACACATATTGGGGAAATTGTAGGAAAATGAATAAAAATAAGATATACACACATTGGGGAAATTGTAGGAAAATGAATAAAAATAAGATATACACATATTGGGGAAATTGTAGGAAAATGAATAAAAATAAGATAGACACACATTGAATTATATGAGTATATATTATATATATTTTATATATATATTATATTTTTTATATATTATATAATATTATATATTTTTATATATATATATATATGATATATAATATAATGTAATAATATATTATATAATATATATATATTTAATTTAATATATATATTATATTTTATATATATATTATATTTTATATATATATATTATATTTATATATATATATTATATATATATTATGTTGAATTGTAGGAAAATGAATAAAAATAAGATATACACACATATTGAATAAAAATAAGATATACACACATATTGGGGAAATTGTAGGAAAAAGTGGAAACACTTGTGATGAGTCTGAAGGAAGAAACATGTCAC